CAAGTACGCTCACCTGTGGTTTGTTCGCTTCTACCCCAGACAGCCATCTTGCTGAAGCACACAGTTTCTGAGCCGAGACCAACCAGCGCAGAGTTCTCATGGTCACAAAATTTCCTTACTACAATGAAACATATACGAGTTAGATTACATCTATATTGTCTTCAAACTTCAAAGTGTTGAACGAACCAGGTTTGCTGGAGTTTATCCGAGCCCTTGCAAATCTGCGGCTGACACAGTCCCTTCCCAACCCAGTCAGTTGCGGCCAGGGCATTTCCCGCCCCCTTGTGATGGGGAGCTGTGGGGCGGGAATGCCCCTGCCGCAACTGACTGGGGAGGGGGGGGGGGGGGGGTGTCAGGGGCAGATTTGTGCAGGCTCTGGCGAACCGGGTTCACGCCAACACCCCACATGCATTGCAGTTACATTGCAAACAGCAGTCAAATGTGCTAACCCAACGCACTTCGGCACTCATAGGTTGTAACGCACATGTGTGACCAGTCTGTGCATTACACAAAGCGTGCCTGTAGGTTCTCTGTATTTTATATAGCCCGGTGATCCATGTGAAATAATAAAACAATCACCGCTTGATGACATCCCAACCTTGACAACCAGGACTCGCAGGAAGTGTTTGGAATGATGCTGGGTGTCATTTATACTTTAAGGGGAGTTGGCCTTTAAGAAATATCAGATTATCAGGTATGACTAGGATACAGCTGGACAAGCAGATGTTTCATTGAGAATTCCTGAAGCAGCAGCCTAAAGCTGGCCATACACTATACAATTCTATTGCACAATCTCCTTTAGATCTGCCATGTGGTGCAAGGGCCTAATAGGTTTGGTAAAGGAGATTGTTTAGTGTATGGTCAGCTTGTTCATAGAGCAATGTGACTACCTATGGCCACAAGTGTACACTGAGGTCACCTGTGATCACTGTGCCCTCCAGCCGTATCCGCCCGAGTATACAATTTCCGGGCGCACCACACACACAGAACAATGTACACCATCTATTCCCCCTTCTCCCATACACACCGATCTCCCGAGCACAGGACCAACATACTCCGAGCTCAGTGTCATTCCTGCTCTGTGGGCGCTGCCATCTTGCCGTGGAGTGACGTCACTCAACTCTCGACACTAGAGGCGGAACCTAGAACTATCCCCTCTGCCGCACTGTGGTCTGGTCTCCGGGGAAATGGCCGCCCCTTAAAGCGACAGAGGCCCATGTTTCAGCTCATTTGTGAAGTGCCATTCCCAGCAAATATGAACAATGATGTGATAAGAGTTACGAACATCAATAATCTTGTCATAAAACAAGAATGGGGGGCTGAAATTTCTGACCTCCTTATTAAAACAAATCTTGCCACCTGGCTGTTAAGCAGTCCCAGATCTTATAAGGCGCATGTTTGAGATCACCCCGGAAGGAACCGATGATGTATCCTTCCCAGGGCGCACCAGTGAGGCCTGGGTTACGTCACCAGTGCCTCAGGGAAGCCTGAACAGTGACTGAAGCTGATTGGCTGCAGCCAGGGTTTCGGTCAAGAAACAGCTATGCAATGCATTATGGGAACATATCTCAGTGCACATATGTGATGCACTTTGCGTTGCCATGCAATGTGAACCAACCCTTAGGCCTTGTTCACACCAAATGCAGACCAGATCCGGTCAGGTTTCTGCACACGCAGTGTAGTGGGTTGTGCCGTTTTTTAGACGCGTTTTGGATGCGTTTTTGATGCGTTTAGGGCCGGTTTTGCTAAACTTTTTTTAATTGAACCGACCTCCCTCTGATCCCCTGTGACAGGGGCCATATGCTGGTCCCGGGCTCACACCGGAGCCCGGGAGCAGCTTGACAGCGGGAGGGGGGGAGGGGGAGAGCCGCAGAGGGGGGGCGCACGTCTCGGGGCTTCATACAAGCGATCCGCCAGCTCTATAGCCGGCGGATCGCTTGTATATTAACGGGCATCGCTGCCCCTTTGCAAATAGCGGGGATTTCCCGCTCGTCGAGCGGGCGGATGTAACAGGACGTGTATACACGCCCAGTTACATCCAAGAAGCTCCCGGCAGGCCGTGTATACACAGCGGCTGGCCGGGAGGTAGTTAACATGGACTTTCAGGCACTTGCATGCGTTTTTGATGGGTTTTTGATGCGTTTTAGATGCGTTTTTGATGCGTTCCAGACCAGATCCAGAGCAGGTAAAATAGGGCTTGCCGCATTTTTTTCATCCGGTCTGGATCTGGTCTGGATCCGCACGCTGCGATGTGAACTGGAGGTCAAAATACCATAGGAATACATTGGACGCAGTTTTGATCCGGTCTGCACCTGCTCTGGTCCGGATCTGCTCCGCGCTAGGTGTGCACAAGCCCTTAAGGAATTTAGGTTGCCACCTTTTCTTCCATCGAAACCCGAACACTCTAGTGATGCATGGAAATTTTGGGGGGACAACGGGTTGTGGCTTATTCATATGTAAATAGCGCCACCCATTCCTTTGTAAATATCACAGTCGAGACTATTTTCAGTGGGGGGCCAGTAGCCCCTATCTTAATTTTGGTTGCCCCTGTCTGCCTGACATCTTGTGTCCGGGATTCAGCTGCCATGAAACCTGGACACTGCATTCAAAACCTGGACTGTCCGGGTGAACCCTGGACAGGTGGCAACCCTAATACACGGTCTTGTGTATGGAGTATTTTTTTTTGCCATTTCTGCATTACTGTAGAACTAAAGCCAAGTTTGGGATAGATAGAGTAAGGGAGGGTTATAACCCATGTTGGCTTTTTTTTTGCCATCTGTGTCCCATTCCCCATCACTTCCTGACCTCAGCCGGGTTAGCATGATAAGGGGGGGCTGATGACGGGTTAGCCCCCCCTGCAAATAACTGTTAATATCTCTATTTCTGTGTGAGATCTAACGCAAACAACAGAGATCTAACCTGATCTAACAAAGATCTAACCAACTGCATATGTTTTGTTAAAAAATTTTGATATGGGGGGGCTAACCCGGCTGAGGTCACTTCCTGTTTGATAGCCACAACAGGAAGTCAGAGGAAATCCTCCCACATTGAAGGAAATGCCTGGTGGTCACCAAAACTGGTGTCCCTATCGGAAGATTTCCCATCTATTCCTGTTCTGGTGACAACCCAAAACTTTAATTGATAAGTCACCAGGACCAATAGAGAGGGTGAATCTCCCTAATGGGTACAGACAGCAATAGAAATCCTGACTGGGGGTCTAATCCCTCTCCATCCAAAAGTAGCACTTGGAATGACACTGCTGTGTACTATGGAATGGTGCGGAGTCACCCCATCGCATCTTCAAGATGAGGTTTTGTAATTAAGCGACACCTTCCATGTGATCGGCCTCACTTGGATCTCCTTCCTGTCCTCCTCCTTTCTCATGTTATGCGTGCTGGTTGGCACGTCATCCGATGTTTATTGAGACAAGTTACTGTCTGTCCTGCCCAACCTGCTCAGTCAGTTCATGTGAAGACCTGCGTTATGTGCACTGTCTGTCTGTCTGTCTGTCTGCCTGTCTGTCTGATCTTCCAGCTCACTATACCCACCAAGGGAAGTGTAGCAGACTGTAGAAGCCAAAACATATAATAGTGTCAGAAGCGGCTCCAGCCCGTGCATTGGTATCAGTTTTAGGTTGAGGCAGGTAGGTTTACACAATCCCCTCACACTTACGCATTTGCCTATATATGCATTTTTTACATGCATTGATTTATGCATTGATACATTGTATGCATTTCTTGTGCAATTTCATGCCTCATGTGTTTTTTTTTTTATTTGGCCAACGACAGAGAGCTGTTCCTCCTGAGAAACTACATGCACATTTGTACTGTGCAAACAGGGGCACAAACACATTTTATTAGTATATTTTCTTTCCAGGTCGAATGTAAGTCATTCAGTGAATCAGGAAAATACCAAATTATGGCCCCTAGATGGCACCAAGGATCATGGGGAAAATGTAATTATTATGGCCACTAGATGGCGCCAAGGATCACAGGAAATATGCATTTCAGCTCCATCTAGTGGCCATGTTGCAGTATTTGCTGAATATGACTGCATTATTGGTTGCATTGTTATCACTGGATGGGACCGTGGATCCCAGAAGATGAATCCATTGTGTGCACCATTGTGTTTTCTATTGCATGCTCTATTGTATTCTACATAGTGTGCACCATTGTGTGCTCTATTGTTTTTTTCCATTGTGTGCATCATTGTGTTTTACACTGTGTGCACCATTGTGTTTTCTATTGTGTGCACCATTGTGTGCTCCATTGTGTTTTCCATTGTGTGCTCCATTGTGTTTTCCATTGTGTGCACCATTGAGTGCTCCATTATGTTTTCCATTGTGTACACCATTTTGTGCTCCATTGTGTTTTCCATTGTGTGCTCCATTGTGGTTTCCATTGCATGCTCCATTGTGTTTTCCATTGTGGGCTCCATTGTGTTTTCCATTGCGTGCTTCATTGTGTTTTCCATTGCATGCTCCATTGTATTTTCCATTGTGTTTTCCATTGCATGCTCCATTGTGTTTTCCATTGTGTTTTCCATACTGTGCTCCATTGTGTTTTCCATACTGTGCTCCATTGTGTTTTCCATTGTGTGCTCCAGTGTGTTTCCCAAAGTGTTTCTGGCTGCTATGGGCAACACCACTTCTTCACCTTTATACTACTGTACAACATGTTAATATACAGGATGGACTATATAAGGAGGTATGCAGCCATTTTGGTAGGTAATCATCACATTTATTGATACATATCTATATCTATAATATAAAAAAAGATGGATAATTATAGAGGGAAGCATGACCGAGAATTTGGGTTCAAAGTCTTTCCCTTGAAGACGTCCTTCCACAGAGGGACAGTTGGGTGCTACGCATGTAACCAAGCTGAGAAGTCCTGACATGAACATGAATGCAGAGGCCAGAGAGAAAAATACAGGAGAGAGGCCAAAATGTCATAATCAGGTATGATACCAAACGAGCAGGGGGAGGAGAGGTCGTGGAACAGGCCAAAGTCAACAGCAGCAGGTCAGGAGCAATGAGGTGAGCCAAGTGTGAGGTGGGTCAGCATCAGAAATGTAAAAGAGTCAGAGAGTAAACCAGGG